TTTCTCTCTCTGTCTCTCTTTCTCTCCTCTGTCACTTTCTTTGTAAATAATGGAATTGTTAGCTCTGGTTTTAATTTAATTTTCTGGGCATACTTTCGCCTCTCAGGGTTCTATCTTGTCTCGCGGGCCTGAAAATACCGCTCGCACGAGTGTTCGGGTGATGAGTAATGTATGTTCACACTGAATTTCAACTAAAAATAATTCTGTTCTTATTCGCGATTTATATATCCCACGAATTTTACATACCTTTTTTTCTCTGGAAAACTTCATTTAAATTGTTTCACAATTCTCCCGTTTACATTTTCAATCTGGCCTCGCCAGTTCACTTGTTTTATTGTTATATTTCTTCCTCGATGCGCTCTTGTCGCACCGCAACTATATATCGCAAGCGTTATTTGTCTCCTACCAACAATTTCTTTTAATATTTCTTTGCTTATATTTTCGGAAAAAATCCTAAATATTCCAATTTTTTTTACATCCAGTTTATATTTGGATTTTCTGATATTTTCACATGTTAACTTTCTTCATTGCAAAACCCCTTATAGTTTGTGAGCTATTTAACATTACAATTTATGCTTCTAAATGCCAAAAATCCCTTTAGGTATTTTGTCTTGCCTCAATATTTTTTCTCTCCATCATTAAGCTTCTTTCCATTTGAGACAGAATATTCCTTTCTTGCCCATTGGGAGCAAATATTCCTGTAGACAGATTTGTGCTCTATAGTTTGTCTTAAAATGTAAAGAAATACTTTTTCTCCTTGATGATGATGATGATGATGATGATGATTATTATTATTATTATTATTATTATTATTATTATTATTATTATTATTATTATTATTATTTTAACTTCAAGTTCATACTCTTACTTAATGTTCTCATTAATTAAATCTAAGAGAGTGATGTTTTGAAATTATATTCCATTAAATGAACATTTCATTCTCTTTCATTGTAGATCCTTTATGTATTGGTATCTGATTTAAAAAAATGTCAATTTCTACCCTCAATTAATTTTGGATCAAATATAACTATACTTTCATCCTGTTTGACAGCTTTTGTGATGTGAAATTTTACCTTTCTCATTTTTCAGATTTGTCAAAAAATAGGTTTGGTGAGCTTCCTGTGGAGGTTACAGAATTCTGTTCCCTAGAGCGATTACTACTGTACCATAACACCATAAGATCGATACCTGATACAGTAGTGTATCTGCAGTCATTGGTGTACCTGGATCTTAGGTTGGTATGGTTTTTCCTACATTGTAGTACCAAAAATTTGTGTGGATACTACAAATGTGTGATATAATTTTTTTTTCAAATGTAACCTTTGCTCTGAGAATTAAAATAAATATTTTTTCATAAATACATGATGTAAGTGATATTCAAATTTTGAGAGAATACTTTTGGTTTTAAAATGTATTCTGCATATTTTAATAAACATTGTACACTACTTTTACATTACATTTACATACATTAATACACATTGTACAATACTTTTCATTTCCAAGCATTTTTCATTTTATCATCAAATAAGTTTTGCCTGATGTGTTGATTAATATAAAATAATATATATACACGATCAAGAAAACCTATTTTAACACTGTTTAAAATGTTAACTTAAAATTCAAAATTAATGGTCTTTGTTAAATTCCTTTTACAGTCGAAACCAGCTCTCCATTCTTCCCAGCTCATTATGTCAATTACCACTGGAAGTTTTGCTGGTATCAAACAACAAACTTGTATCTCTCCCAGAGGAGATTGGTCGCATCAAGACACTTGCTGAACTTGATGTGAGCTGCAATGAAATTGCACATTTACCTCGACAGATTGGTGAGCTGCCTGCACTAAGGTACCTCAATCTTCGTCGCAATCTTCTGTCTGAACTCCCTGCAGGTGAGCAGAAATACCACTGGAAATTTATTTGACCAGCAGTGCATTGATAATTGGTGTAAACTCTACCATTTGGGTGTTATATCATTTAAAAGAGGGGGATATTACAAATCAGAATTTTAACCTTAAGGCGATCTACATAATTTCTGAACTTGAGTAGTTTGTTCCTTCCAAAATTCCCATGTTTCTTTTGAAATTTTATCCAAGACTGCGATATTTGATTAGCAAACACATATGGTTATTATAATTATGTTCATTAGACCACTAGTTGCATTATGACTTTCATATAATACTTCTTTTTGAAGACAAAAGAAAGATGATGTTTGAAACCAATAATCTTATTGCTTTTGCACCACTCAAACGTCTTGTAGTGCCGAAGCAATTCTTGTTTCAGTATGATGGCCTTATCAAACTTGAACACACAGGTTTTTCCCATTTTCGTATTTCTTTCATTATCATAGACACCTATTCTGTTTCATTGGATCTGATAATCATTGCATTTTTACAGAAATATTCTAAAATAATGTACATAAACTTTTCTATTGTTTCAGAAGTCACTGAGCTCAGTTTAGAAAGGTTGGACATAAGTAGTAATAGAATATCTAAACTTCCCATTGAACTAAGAAATATGAGTACCTTAGTTGAACTCCACTTAGGCAACAATCCAATGACTTCTCCTCCTTCATACGTAAGTCATAGAAGTTGACTGTACTTTTAAAGCATAAAAAATGAAGATGCATGTATAATCAGAATTTGAACATTCTGTTGCAGCTGTGTACTCGAGGCCGTGTACATATATTTAAATATCTTGAAATTCAGGCCATCAAAGAGGATAAGAAAAAGGGCATTTTGAATGAAGAAATTAGGAGGGTTCATAGAAAAGTTAGTCATTTGTCAGACGCCAGATTTACGAATGGAATTATGCCTGATGGCCGACCGAAGAGGTATACATCTGACAGTGGCTACAGTACCAGTGAAGATAAACGATGGTCTCAAGAAATTCGAGGGGTATGCTTACTTATACTCTTAAATTCTTTCACACTCAAAATATACCGTTAATTAGTAACAGTATTTTATTATTTTATGAACCAGAGTCCATTTACATATGTAATACATATTAATGCTCATATCTTTTTAAATCATATAACTTTCAAGATGTATTGTTTTATAATTAGGTATTACCACTGCATATTATATTTCTCATCAGCAATACTGAATATTTTCATTCTCCTCTTTCTGAAGTTGAGAATTAAGTGTGCATGCATGTTGTACTCATTTTATAAATAATAATGATAAAAACTAATTTTCTCCTGATCCGTTATTTGAGCTCTTTATAATTTCTGCATTGCTTTATTTTTAGAATTTTATTTCATTATTAAGGCACATTTTTATAATACATTTTTGTATTTCTTCATGTGGTTGTAAGTATCATTATAAAAAAAAATATTTTATTTCTTAATGTCACAGATGGAAGACTTAGGGAAGATGAAAGGAATATGGCCAAGACAGGAGGGTCTAACCATTCCAGTGAAAGTTCCAGACACAAATGGTAGTTGTAGTGGCACTTCAACCCCATCAACGATCAGCCCAGGAGATAGTCCCAACCTGGAAGATGAACTCACAAAGGTGTTTTTTCTCACCACATGTTTCTAGAAAATTTTCTTGTTATTACGCTCGTCAAGAAAGATTAGATTTTGAAGAAAGTAGTGTGTATTGAGTTGAGTGATATTGATGATTTGTGAACTGTTACTTCTTCGTTAGGCTATTATGGAGAGTCGCCAGATGGACAAAGATGATTCACGGAGAACATGTACCAAAGAGGGTATGAAAACTGCAAATGGGAGGTAAGCCATGGATGTCATGTGGCCTCTGAGTTGTGCATGGCATGATGTGATTGTAGTGGCGGTGGTGAAGGTGTTGGTCACAATGTAACTCTTACTCTTGTAGAATCTGTCTGGTGATGTACTGTAAAAATTCAGTAATGGATTTCCCTATCTACTCTCTCCTCAGTTTTATTCCACATCTTTCAATTTTCAATTACATTGCAAGCTGAGTTCAGATACAATAGAAAATAATCTGAAATTAATCTGAAATTTCAAACAAAAAAACATTAAAGATGACAGGGAATGAAGTTAATAATTTAAAAGATCATTCAAAAAATAATATATTTTATGGTGTGATTGTCATGAATATTACAAATAAGTTGACACAGACATCTTTTATTCTTTCCCACAATCAAAATTAAAAGATCAAATAAAAATCAAATTTAAAAGATGATTGTTCTTTGGTAGCTCAGCTTACAGTGTTTGGAAATTACCTGCTTGTAAACAATATTCCTTAGAAATATTTAGCTTGTTTTGCTTGTACACTCGTGTACCTGATTAGTTTTACTACATGATTTTGATTTACTTGCCCTTTGTTATTTGAGCAGTAAAGTAATAAATTAATATTGTTTTTCAAATTACATGTACTACTTTCTTCCTGCTAACAACTCTATCTTTGTATGTAACTTTCTTTTTCTTTCTGTAGTCTATTTATGTTTATTAATATAAGAGATTATTAAATTTATTTTAAAATACTTGTTTGGTCTTTTATTTGGCTCTTATCACATTTACTACAATTATGAGTAGTAAAATTGTTTTTAAAATCTCATCACATGGCAGAGAGTTGCAGAAAATCTTTCCAATCTGCAAGTGAGTAATTAGCCTCAGAGCATGTCCTCACCTGTGCAATTTGGGCATGGCATCCTTTAATAGCTGTGCTTTTGTTTTGTGTGTGAGTGCACTGATGTTTCCATTTGCAGCCCAAGGTTTTCTTCGAACAGTGTTAACAAGGTTGTCTCAAATGGACCAGCTTTGTCACCAAGTACAGAAGTATTTATGAATGGGAATGGTTTGGTTCCAAATGTGGAGGACAGTAAGAAACCTCTGGAACACATACAAACTTATAGGTTCGTATTCATGAAACGACTATGGGTAAAATGGTGGTGGATTTGGTGCTGCAACTATGGTGTGAATTTGAACATTTTGTATAACACATGTAAAACACTAATCTATGCATGATGCAATTTTAATGAGTTATTGCAGTTTGCAAAGTTCCTCTAATGTTGTTCAGGGAATATAAGGAAGCTCTCAGACAACAGCGTTCACAAGATGTCTACAGACCTCGACTTCCTGCAACATCTGAAAATCCTAGCGATGGCCTGAGGCAACAGAACGCTTTCAATCAGGTCAGTAATTGTGATTTTAAATGGTTAATATTGTAAAGCTTAAATTGACTCCTTCAAAGGTATTCATAGGTCATCAACTTTGCCTTTCTGGAAGTAAATCATTTTCCACTTAAGAGTCAGTTTTAAAAATTATATTTTAATGAATTTGAACAAGGTAATCAATTGCCCATCTCTTTCTTTTCCACCTTCCTCCTCTTCGTTGTCCTTCTCCTTTTCCACATTTTACTTCCTTTAATATTCTTGAGCCAATTTTCAATATTATGTTTATTCAAAATCTCATTCTTTTTATCAGGAAGAAGAGATGTCGCAAATGCGAATGGACATTCAGAAATCATCAAGGCAGATACTTGAAGAAAGTATGAATAAAAGGCCAGTTCAGAAAGTCATACCATCTAGAAATGGATCTGCAGTACACTTTCAAGAACCTCCTACTAATTCATCCCCTACCCTTGTGAATGGGAACAGAGGACTGGATTCATCTGCTGGTTGTTACATAAAGCCCAGTTCTCCCATTAAAACTCCTACTACTTTGGCCCAAGTTCCTGGCTCCTCTGCAAATTCTGGTACTCCTGGAAGTCCCCGGCTAGTCACAGCTTCCATTGTTTATGCAAATTCAGTTCCTGCGTCTTCCAATGGCAGTCGTAATCCCAGTCAGACTGGTCCAAGGTCTCCAAAGATTGGATCATCACGTGGCATACCTTGGAACAGAGATGTTCCACCAGACAAACTTAGTTTCACTATGCGGCGTGAATTTGATAAAGCTCGTGAGGAAGCAGAGCTAACGGAACAACTTCGAAACGTAAGAATATTTTATGAGACATCCAGAAATTCTTTTAAAGTAATTTGTAACATAAAAAAATTACTTCTTATTTCAAATAATACTAGTCGAAACAATTGAAATGGCTTGGCTATCTACAATGATTTTTAATAAGAAATTATGAAAATCAAAACAGAACTCTGTAGTGTAGATGAGAAATCTATTTAAATATACAAAGGTTTTTATCTTTATTTTTTGTAATATTTATATTAAAGAGATAGTATTGTACTGCTGTATAACATCTTTTCATAAATTTGTAGTGTGGTACAAAAAAGTAGTTTTCTATATGTTTTCTTTGAATATTGATGTATCATAGTAATACTTTTGTTAATTTAAAGCTCATTGCGGAATATAAGTGTGGTTTCGCAGGGCAGCTTAGAGAATAGAAGAGTCCTTGTTCAATAGATTGATGGGACTTCTTCTTTCAAATAACTAATGGACTTCCCCCACTATCATCAATTTCAATTTATTCATGTTGGAATAAATACAACTTCAAATAAATATAACCTACATAACAAAATTCAGGAGACTATGCCTGTGCCCAGAGCTGAAGGATTTTTCATTAAATGAAATATCTTAACATAACAATTCATTTTAAAATATTATAAAATGCATATTAGAAATTGTTATAATTAGGTATAGTAATCTTCCTCCACACTTTCATTTGAGTGAATTTATTTATAACTTGGTCAAAACTTAACGTTTTCAAAACTCATTTCATAGATAATTTATTTGGGACTTCTTTTAGATTAAGTCATGTCCCAAGTTAATCCAACAGCCCCCCTTCTGACTGACTGTGCTTGGCAAAAGCTGTGTAAGCAAACACCAGACATTAAATTAAGATCTCAAATGGGTATTCATATGGCGAATTAAAAATATAATCCTGTCATCGTCGTCGTTATCATCATCATCATCATCATCATCATCATCATCATCATCATCATCATCACTACCATCACCATCATCGCCACCGTCACCACCATCATCACCACCACCACCACCTCCACCACTACCATCACCATCACCACCACCACCACCTCCACCACTACCATCATCATCACCATCACCACCACTGCCATCACTACCACCACCGCCATCACCACCACCACTATCACCACCACCACCATCACCTCTATCATCACCACCACCATCATCACCACCACCATCACCACCACCACCATCATCACCACCATCACCACCACCATCATAATCACCATCACCACCAATATCATCATCGTCACCATCATCATCATTATCATAAAAAGACTGTAAATGTAGGATCTACTTAGACTCCAAAGTGAATTTAATGATATTTATTATTTAACATTCATTTCAGTGCATTGAAACAAGACTAAAAATGGCTCTTCCTGATGACATATCATCTGCTTTAGCAGATGGAGTAGTTCTTTGCCATTTAGCAAACCATGTAAGGCCACGATCTGTCGCCAGTATTCATGTCCCTTCACCTGCCGTAGTAAGTACCTTTATGCCTTATTTAAATTTATATCAGCAATTAACAAATAAATTCCTCCAACTGGTGAACTTTAAAATTTCTCTTTTCAGCCGAAGCTTACAATGGCAAGATGTCGGCGGAATGTTGATAACTTTTTGGAAGCATGCAGGAGAATTGGAGTTGATGAGGTAAGTTTCGTAGTGGATAGCAGTTCAATGTTGTATGCTGTGTAGTGTTTTATTTTGTTTCTGTTACAAATTTTGTAATCTATGCTGCTTGGCAAAAGAGCTTCTGAAATGTTTATTCAGAAATTAGTTGAATCAATCAACTTTTGTGTTGTTATGCAAATTGTAGTCTCCATTTTAATTTTCTTAAATTGAAGTAACACCTTAAAATAACAGTAATTTTTCAAAGGAGGGTATTTTGAATTTCAATGTAGCATGTCTCTATAAAATTACTCATGTGAAACGTACTAACTAATAAATAAACTATATGATTCCTTCTGTATGATCAGTTGCATAAAATACTTTTCAAAAGAAAGGTTTTAAAATTAATAATTTAAAATATATTTCTAATCTTTATTTACAAATGCATAACCAGACTTTCATTTCATTTTTTCCCCGCCTTATAAAAGAGGAAGTTGTTGCCTATTTTCGCCTTCAGAAAAGTTCCACCAGGTTTCTTGTAATGCAACTTACTTCACTGGTTGCTTATCTTTTGGTGATATTGTTTAAGGCATACTAAAGATGCATGAACCTGTGATTATATATCTTTTTGTGTTTTTTTTTTTTTATTCTTGAAATACAGCTTCTATTTGAAATCTGAAAGAATTGTTTTCAGGGAAGGAATATAGAGCACTGTTTCCCCCACAATCTGGCAATCGGGGCAGTCTTATAGAATGAATGCATAACATAAGAAGATATAGATTCTTCTTTAAGGAAAATGCAAACTTACTTTGCCATTGTTGTTCTTTCTTGCTTTGAATGGTAGTGGTTTTTATCATCACTTATAGTTTTCAAAACCAACATATTTCTCCCACAGTATTTGCATGCTCTTTTTCCCTTATCTTTCTGATATTCATACGTACACTTCCCTTTCTACAGAAACCTTATGTCTATCATTGCTTGGTATAGTGTTGGACAAATTTGCATTTTTGTTTTGCAAGTCACTGCTGATATTCTGCATATCCCATAATTGTATCTATAATGCCATGTGCAGTACATGAAGACAATTTTTTATCTAATTTTTAATTCACTTCTAAATTTTAAATCCTTTATCAGTTCTATAAATATTAAATAACTAACAAATTAATATCTTACCAAAAAAAAAAAAATCTTGATAAAATTTGCTTCCTAATACTAAATACCATTATGTTACATTTACTGTACAAAGTCAAACTTGATTATTAAAATTTAATTCTTTGACTCACAGTTGCTGGTAGATTATTGATTTTGATTTTAATTATTCATTTTTATTCCTAGTATACCGTGTTAATGAAGGTATATGCACTTTTTTAGTGGCTGATGAAACTGCACTCCATTATAGAATTGACCCAATCCAATTTCCTGGCTAAACAAGAACTTTCTTGCTGCTGCTGGTGCTAGAAAAGTCCCTGCACGTACGTGTCTGTTTCGTTGCAGGAGGACATATGCTCACGTGATGATATATTGGGGCTATTGAGGGTGGGAGCTGTGACGCACACCGTTGCGAGCCTTTGTGCAAAGCAGCAGTCACCACCACGTTCAACGCCAGACCATATTGTCTCACTTCTCTGCCTCGCCTTCTTTGTGGGGACACTGGTGCTTCTGTATTTCTTCCCTCCTCCTGATTAGAAAGGCCAGAACATAAGATACTTGTTGATCAAATATGTATCGATTGTTTGACTGAAACTCTCTCATGCACATTCGTGAAAGAGACACAGTGAACTCTTATATCAGTATTATTATACAATTTGTATTTTTATCAAACTTTTGAATACTATTGATTCTTGATGTATTTTTTCTTTTTCTTTTATAATAAACAGTAATTAATTGTACATGATATTTGCTTCAGACTTTAAGAATGTGTTTCAGAGTTTCTGTCAAGAAAAATGTTGTATCATATGTGGTTGATTGTATTAGTCATTAAGATATTTATGTTTGCATGATGATGATTATAAGGATACATTTTTATTTAATGTCTGAAGTATGTGATGTAACTCTGGAAGTTGTATTATTGAAACGCTATAACTATATTGATTTTTTTTATGAAGTGGTATTAATGAACAGAGTGAAATTAAAACAAATAAATCATAAAAAATTCTTCTTTTACAGATTTAATTCTTTAATATCTCTATTGGATGTAATGCTGTGTTCGTAAAATTTTTCTGCACCATACTTTGTAACTAAAGGGTATTCTATATTTTTCTTGAGCAACTGTCACTAATTATTTCTGGAATTAATTGTTTCTGCTAGAATAAAAGTCAGTAGCTATTTCATGATGAAAACCTGATTTGATCATAAAATTATTGATTTTTAAATTTGAGCTGAAGGAATTAAGTGTGAGATTGAATCTCAAAAATATTCCTCAAATCGGAAATAAATTTCAGATATTTATTTCAATCTTTTGAATGCACGTTACTTTTCTACCAAAATAAATTATATTACTGAACACAAATAATTATAGTAAATGTATTTAAATAATAATTCTGGCAACATTGTTAATAGGAACAACTCAGATAGTTAACATCTTAACAATCAACGAAATTGTACAATAGAAGGAAGGAACATAAATTGAAGGATTGGTCTATGCAACAAAACTTTTGTGCTAGCAACCATAGTAAAAAGAGAAAGTAGGTTTGCAAAAATTTGAAACTGTTAATCAACCTTCAACTATTTGCAAACCATTATAAAACTCTGTAATTGTTTACGGAACATAATGCAAAATGTGTTTCCAATGAAATTTTGGTGGCAAGTATGTAGTGTTTAAAAAATTTTTATTATTTAAAGTATCAAACGTTAAGAAAGGCAGGTCAAAATTGTATAAGGAAAGGATTTGTCATATGCTTATGTCATTCAAAAATGAAACTTCCTTCGTAAGTATATTTCTTTTTGCAAAGATGACTTAATAAGTTCCTTCTAAATGTAGTGACAATTACACTCTACTGACTTTATTGTTTTTTCTGCAAGGGAAGAAAATGCACCTTGTATTTCATTGTAAATTCATTAATTATTTGGTTTTTATGTCTTATTGTACAATTTCAAATTGTTTCTCACACATGAATTTTTCATTAGTGATTGAAATAAGATCAAAAATTGACTAGTAAATCTGACATCACTGATGTATTATTAGAAGTTTTACTTGACATCAGTTATATTTACATTGTGTGCTGAATGGAAGATGTTACAAGACAGTTTCAACTAATATTGGATATTGATTTAATCATTACAAATCTGTGTCATATCATATTTCAATATTAAATTTACTTTTGAGGTTAAATTTTATTAAATAACTCATTAGCAATGTTCACATAAAAACAGAATATGTTTGTTTTTGAATGTTTCTTTATTTTATGAATGTTTTTAAAGAAAATTGAAGCATTTCTTATGCAATTTTCTGTTGCTTTTCAAAAAAATTTCCTGAGGTAACAAATACTGGTGCATTAAGATCTTGACATTGCATGCATCTTTGAGTCTTTTTTCTCTATCTTTTATAAGAAACCTATTAAAATTTTGTAAATTTTTTTTGTTTAATGAATTATTGTGCACTCAAGTGTCTTAATATCCAAAAAGATATTATACATGCATCTGTCATTAATAATATACATAGAGTATTTAGGTATTAAGTCAAAATGGGCTGCTATTTTCATGGTGAAATATAATGTAAGTATGTAATAATGATACAACGTAATGTATTGGTTAAAAAGCACATAGCTAGTCAGTTGCCCTGTTAATTTGTAATGAACAAGCCAGGGTGTGCGTTATAATAGAGGTGCCTGTGGTGGTTATAATCTAGTCCTTGACATAGGAAAAAATATCCTTATATATGGATGTTTATAATTTTGTACAAATGGCAGTTTAATTTTGTGAGCTGTTTTTATGTTTGGTATTTATGATGCATTTACTGTTAGACTTCTGGTGGTTCCTAGCAGACCCTTATTTTTAAGTAAGATTGTATTAAATAGGGAAATCTCTTTTAATTCCCACTTTTTTGTACAATATTCATTTATGTATTACATCTAAAAGTATAAATTTTCAATGTAAAACCAAAGCTGTTATACTGCAATTTACCCAAATACTGCGACTTGGATAAATCATAGTATAATTTAATGAATGTTTGATCCAACACAATTGCTACCTGCTTCTTTCACTGTTATAATCATTTCTCATTGAAATGAAACAGATGTCTGATGTATATTTTCATAATTTTCCTCTTCTCTCTCTCTCTTTCTCTTTTTTTTCTTTTTTTCTTCTTCCTTCTCTTCTCTGAGTTCACAGGTAATCCCCAGACTTATAATTCTAACCTTATACCAATTCATTAGAGAAAGAAAACTTCATTTTTCTTCTTTTAGACTTCAAGCTGGATACATTGCCAACAGATAATTTTAAAAGATACAATAAAAATTTCTTATGATTATAGTTTTAAATGAATGATAAGCTGAAACAAAAATATTAAACATCTGAGAAAGAACAGAATGGAGAATTTTAATCCTAGAAGTATCCATTGAAATATGAATACTTTGAAACAATCTCTAAAATCTACAGCTTCTGCAAAATAATGTTTAGCATGGATCTCTATTTTCAAATTTCAAAGTTGGGAAGAAATGTTATCATTACTTTAATTTATATGTGTAATGATGAATTACAATTAAATGAAACTGAACCTTCATTTCAATACTATTACAGAATTTGATTGAATAATCATCATTTGATTCCAGATAATTACACAGGCATGTAAAATAAAAAAGTTTTCAGACCCAAAGACTTGAAACATGTTTCTCAATTTATGTCATGTCAAAGTGGTGTCTTGTAGCCTTAGTCTTGGTGTCTTGTAGTCTTATACTCAATAGAAGCCACAAGTTGTCAGACCCAAGACATAACACATATTTCTCTATGTATGTTGACATGGTGAATCCAAATCTGAAGCCAGAATTGTTCTATCACCTTCCAGTTTTTTAAATTGTGAAAAACCACCATGAAATTGTAAATTGTAAATTTTATGGTGGTTTCTCACGATTAAAAAAAAAAACAAACCGGAAGGTCGTGGAACAATTCTGGGTTTGGATTCAGATTCAGCATATCAACATACATAGGGAAGCATGAATCAAGTCTAAGGTCTAACAACTTTTGGCTTCTGTGGAGTATAATGGTAAAAGACACCAAAACCTAGTTTTTGCAATAAAAAAACTAGAGGGTGATGGTGCAGTTCTGGCTGCACATTCAGATTCAGTGCATTGACATACATAGAGAAACATGTTTTAAGTCTTTAGATTTTGTTTTAAATTAAGGTTAAGTTGTGTGTGTGGGTGTGCACGCATTATTGGGTGTGATTATTTTACTTCCCAAGTCAAAAAATCCATTCATTATTATTATTATTTATAATATTACTCTCAGGAAGTTTCGTTGTTGTTACCATTTTTTCTTGGATATGGAATAAGCAAAAATAACAAAAAGCATCATGGAATAATACCTATTCATAAAATAATCAGTATTTCAAAAATGAAAATTACTTTCTGCATGTAGTTGGTGAAAATAATCATTTTTTTCCTACAGTGAAGACACTGGGCAAATTTCAAATTGGATAAGAATTTTTGTAAATATATGCATAATGTATTTCATTGAACATTGTTCAGTCTTTTTTGGAAGAGAAAATAAAATATTAATAGTTTGTTACTAATAAAATAGAAACAAGGGAAAGTTGATTATAATTTTTTCTCGTAATTAAAAAAACTAAGGAATTGTTTTATAAGTCAAAAAATTAGTTAATTGATTTATTGAAATGTTCTCTCAGAAAAAGAGTTGATGATTTTTGAAAAATTTAAAAAGATATATTTTTTGAAATTTATGAAATATTTTTGTTTTTTAATTGTAATTTAATTCATACCAAAATGTGAGACTGGTTTGAAGACTGACATCTCTTCATAATTTTGTTCATTACAGAGTATTATATTTTATTATCTATGTAGAACTTGGAGAAAAAGTATCATTTTCCTAACTATAGAATACTTTTTACTTTTTTTTCTGTAGACTGCTAAGTGTATTTTAGTGTTGAAGAAAACAGTTGAATGTCAGTGTCAGCTATCATTTGTGTAGAATAGAAATGTATTAAATTTTGATTCAAATCTAAATTCATTAACAAATTATTTTATGATCATCTATTCTATGTCAATTTTGTCCTTGTTTATTATTATTATTATTATTATTATTATTATTATTATTATTATTATTATTATTATTATTATTATTATTATTAATTTTTTCAAGAGCACAAGAGCTAATGTTTAAAAAATAATTTCTTGCTATATTTTCTCAAAAAATGGTTACAATATGAACTGTTAGATTATATAATTTCTTTGTACAATTTTTTGCCTAATTTTTTCTAAAATATGCTATTAATTGTGATTGCATTTCAGTGAAATTATTTGAAGTGTTGATAAAATTAGAGATCCGGAATACCCAATGATTCATTTAACAAAATATAGTTAAATATTTTCTCTTTGATTGATCACTTTTCTAGTGTCTGAATGAAGGTTGCAAGTATATTCGGTTTGAGGAAGAGGTGTCTGAGAAGTAAATATACTTCAAAAGAAAGAAAATGAGACAAACGAGCAAAACGTTTATTCAAGGGGTTGTGTGATACATGCAAGCAGGCCTGCCCCAAACTTTGGCTTTAGAGCCACCTCTCCAGGCAGCTGTACACACGAATTGAAGTCTCATAGAATAGTATGTCTGGTAAGACAAGTTCCTAGAGGGGATGTGGTCACCATCTGTCATATGTACTACTAAGCACAAGCTCCAACCTGTTGTCACGGTCTTCCAAGTTGATAGTTCTTGTCTTGTTCCTATTTTACTTGCTACCAGATAACACTGACGTGATAAAACACTTTTTAAAGTAACATCATCAAATTTGACATTCAATAATAGTTATTTATTCAAAATATGACATTGCAGCAGAAAACGCAACTTTATTATATTTATTATGAATTTACTTATGCAATTATAAATAAATTAAAAGAAGTCCAAGAATTTTTGTAATCATTGTAAAAAAATAAGAAAATAAAAAATAAAATTGTTCAATAATTATTTCAATGATTGGAGTAAAAGTTCTCAGCATATATCACTTTCATACAGTTTCTCACACACATGAATGTTTGAAGTAAATGGACAACTACGTTTTGGATATCTACTTTATTGGAAATATTTGTTCACAGTTATGTAGTGCCAATCATAAACATTTTTGAAGGTAGTCTGTCGGGTTGGGGAAGCCTTTCTTAGAAAAAGTTAAAAAGGTTAAAAAGAATTTTCCCAGAGTTTTGCATGAAAAGTGACAATTATCTAATAAATAATGTCTTTCTATTTGTTCTGCTGGCTCATTTGGAGGATTTAAATATTTTTTAGCTTGTGCTTGCTAACATATAATAAACAGTCCTTGAATTGCAAAAGAGCGGATGGTGTTACGATAAATGTGGTGTGTGGGGCTGTCCCCAGAGGAGCAAAGGGAGAAAGGGTTCCCTTCGTTGCCCCAAGCTGAACCCTGCAGAGTGGGCAGATCTGGGAGGTGTATTTTTTCAGTCCCTTAAACTCAGAAAGAATCTTGCTACCTATTATGAAGCATCTAAGAAAAGTCCTCAAGGTGTAAGAACATATTATTTAATATCAAGTTTTCAAACAAGATGTCTGGAATATGACGAAAGTAGAAAGACTTAAATAAATGTGTGTTGGTGAAGGATAGTTTTGTACAATGAAATTTTTACAATTGAACAACAAAAAGAAAAAAAAGGGAAAGAAAACTCTGTATAGCATGTTCAGCCTTCAACAATATTAATGAATTTTAACAATTTTTTCTGACAGTAAAGTGTATCTAGTTGATATCTATAACTTAAGTTATTTAGAAATTTCATACAACACTTGAGAGACATGAAGAGAATTTTTGTCCAAGCTTAAGACCTCTTGATAAGTCAAAATAACTGTATTCATTATTTAAAATGTACTGTGCCTAATTATGTTAGTATAAATGAACTGTTTTAAGTACATTCTGTATTGTAAGGTGATTAAAATTTATTTTACTTATATAAGATTATTACATGTTTATTTTTAATGAAAGTAATTATAAATATTTATTTACTAAGTGCTAAGTCGATTTTTCTTGTGTATTTATGAAAGTAATATCCAAAAGTGGTATTCAACCTGATTTATAAAAAGGCATTTATAGATTCAAAAGGAACAGAATGACAGAAGAAAGGAATTTAAAAATTTTGCAAATAATTTTGTATAATCACAAAAAGATTTAAGTTTTGTACATAGAAAATGTATTACCTATGGTACATCAAATGAAAATTATTTACCTGGTAATAATAAATAGTTGGTTGAATATCACTATTTAGTATGAGTTCTATGTGGCAAATGTCTTCAGGACATTCATGGATATAAGTGTTGTTTTTTGAGTACAAATGGATGTAGGTATTTTTCAATTGAAGGAAAATGGAATTGATGTAGTTAGTATCTCACAGCATAATTTCAAAACAATAACATGGAAAGAACAAAGCATGTTGTTGAGTCAAGTGCCTATGCACAATGATTAATTCCATGAAAGTGCATAGCAATGTTTTGTTGTACAAATGTCATTAATATTTGTAATTTCATTGAACAAGAAATTCCATGGTAGTAGCAGATACGTTGTGGTAATCCATAATATGGTAAAGGAAATAATAGTCCACAAAAGGTTTACTAATTTTTATTAATTATTACCCAGAGTTAACTTTCGGGAAATACTTTTCCCATCCTCAGTAGATCATGCCCAAGCAACGTGGATCACTCATAAATGAAGCAACATTGCAAGATGCCATGCGACGACATGGTTGCAAAATATGAAAACCAAAAGATGGCAGCCACTTAGCTGTACCCAACATATTTTGCAGTTTTCATATATTGCAACCATGTTGTGAACATTTGAGTGATCCATGTTGCTTGGGCAAGACCCACTGAGGATGGGAAAAGTTTTTTCCAAACGTTAACTCTGGGTAATAATTTAAAAAAATTAGTAAACCTTTCGTGGACTATTATTTCCTTTACAATATTGAACAAGAAGTTGAAGACATTTTCTGTCAGAATTTTATCAGAATTGGCACTGGGATTCCAGCAGAAATGTCAGTGTATTTTTTTATTTCCTAGAATGTATGATGAATATCAATAATTAAAATAAATACAAAATTCTTTTCACACAGCCAATAATAATATTTATAAAGTTATT